CTGACACTGTACTAATGGCAATGGGGAGGAAGGGGTTAACTTTATTTTGCAGGGAAGGGTTATAGGAGTGAGGGGAGTGTTTTACTAGGGGGCGGGGGTGTGTGCTGGGTGGGACAAGGCTGATCGAGAAAGAGAAACTGTTCTTTCTCGATCAGCTCATCCTCGAACTGACAGGGAAGTGACAGACAGCACAGCTACTGCAGCTGTGCTGTCTGTCACTGTTTGCCGCCGATCGCCGGGGACATAGCCGCTAAGGAGCAGCTGTGACCCGGCAACTGACATCTGTGGCGGTGATCCGCGGGATAGATAGGGCGGCGGCGCGCCTCGCACGTGCCCCCTATTTGTTTACAAAACACACAACGTTTTCCGCCGTATGCATGGAATCTTTATCCTCATGACTAAGCACCGTTGGCAGAGTGAAATGCATTGGGGGTGTGGCCTGGTTTGAGCCTGGGCTGAGGCTGTCATACACCTTCTTACAGGGTTTTGCAGAGATGTGTGATTTCCAGGACCTTTCCCTTTTCCATTACATTTTCTGAATAGCTTAAAGTGATATTTTTTATTTTTTAATTTTTTGTCATAATTTTTTCACAAAAAAATGTTTCACTTTTTAAAAAATACTTGTATATACTGTTGTCAGTGCAGTACAGCATCATCCTATAACTGGTGTGACCGTGATCAAGAATACTAACTGGTGACAGTATGAAAAAAAATATATATATATATATATATTTTAAATTTTTTTTATTTTTTATTACATTTTTTTTTTTTTTTTTTCTTACAATTTGTTTCATAATACACTGTGACCAGAGTAATATAATGTTACCATAGTAACATTGTAATACTCTGGGGAAGTGATCAGTACTTTTTTTTTTAACACATTATGATTGCCTATAACAGTGAATTTCACAGCTATAGGCGAGCATTTAACTGAATGAAATCAATTCATTCAGTGTTTTTTTTTTTTGTTATTAGTTGTGATTGTCCACAGCTAATCACATGACATAGATGGGCTCTGATTGGCCCCGTTTGTGCCATGAGATCACTGTGACCAATCACAGCTAGCAACACAATTGTATACAATGGATGGCATGAAAGGAAACCATCCATTATTTACAATTGTCATGTGACTTGCTGTGGTTGGTCACAACGGCCATATGGTACCGGCAACAGGCCGGTACACAGATGGACACAGCCGGTGACAGATGTCGCTACAGTATGCCAACGATCCTGGAAGATGTCATATGAAGCCCACCTGGATCGACGAAAGTCCTGTCCGGCCATCATTTTGCTATTGGACGGGCGCAGGGCTGCTGTTAGACACTACAGGGCCCCATACAGCCAACCTGGCAGGGCCCTCCCCTCAGAAGAAAAACATAGTTTACTATGCTTCAGTTATGAAAGTACACAGTGAGTGATTGGTACCAATGACTCATTGGGGTTTATTTACTAAAGCTGGATAGTCCAAAATCAGACTCCCTTCTGCATAGAAACCAATCAGCTTCTAACCTCAGCTTGTTCAATGAAGCTTTGGCAATGAAACCTGGAAGCTGATTGGTTTCTATGCAGAAGGGAGTCTGATTTTGGACTCTCCAGCTTTAGTAAATAAACCCCATTGTGTTCATTCAGGAAAAGAAGAGGCTGGTAAATGTGACGTATTTGCCAGACATGTCCCCCACTCTCCATCCTAAAAGATCTTATTGCGTGCTTGCAGCTGCTGAAAGGAGTGGAGGGAAGCAGACAGCACTGTGGGTGTGGGGGCACACAGGGAAGCCTGGGCAGCAGGGGGAAACATATGGTGCACAGGGAGGGTGATGGGTGTGGTGAGGGGAAATTACTGGAACCGATCCCCTGTATGGCTCTCTCTGCAGCAGCTGAAAGCCAGTGTGAGGGAGAGAAGAAGCCAACTTTCAGCTGCTGCAGAGAGAGCCATACAGGTGATCAGTTCCAGTAATTACCCCCCTCCCACCATACCGAACACCCTCCCTGCCCACATCCAGTTCACCCAGCTTCCTGGGCCCCCCTGCTGACCTGGGCCCCATACAGGAGGACTGGTGGTACCCCCTTATCCACAGCCCTGGACAGGCGGGAACTGGTTAAATAACAAACATGTCATATTTACCTGCAGTGATTTTGCACAGAGCAGCCCTGATCCTCCTCTTCTCAGTTCCCCGCCTGCACTCCTGGCCCCTCCCTCCTGCTAAATGCACCCAGAGCAAGCAGCTTGCTCTGGGGGCACACCAAACAGACGCACTTCCAAGCCGCGGCTCTGCATGTCCATACAAACAGAGCCATGACTCGGCCCTGCCCCCTTCCTCTTCTGATTGGCTCACTGGTTGTGATTGACTCACACCAGCCAATCAGGAGTGAGGGTCCCTGGGGAGCCAAGGCTCGCTGGATTGAGAGGGTGCTCAGGTAAGAATTAGGAGAGGCTGGGGGTGCTGCACAGCCTTTACAACCACTTTAAAAGTTTACCCAGGAATATTATTAGATCCTTTTCTATATAACCCTGCCTGTAAAAGTTATGCAGTTTGTGTCCAACTGCCCTTTAAGGGGTCCATAACCATTACAGCCAGCATGTGGTTGCTCCTAAATTGCTAGATAGCTTAAAGTGGAAGTGCAACCAAAACCTCTAACACTAAACGTACTGCCATCCCTATTCTAAGCCCAATCTATCTAACCCTGTAAAGAAAAGATTGCTATACTTAAATATTCTGAAGCCGCTCCGGTCCGCTCTCCCAGAGGTGGCTTCTGTGTGTAGGGAGAGAAAGCCAACAACATTTTTTAAGTGGAAGTTCAGCCAAAACCTATCTAACACTAAACCTACTCTCAGCCCCATTCTACGCCCAATCTATCTAACTCTGTGTGTTGGAAATGAAGAGGAGATGACGTCACCCATAGACTTACTATGGGGCATCCGTTGTTGGCTGCCTCTGCTCTACACAGAAGCAGCCGCTGACAGCTCAGCCTGGGACCGGACCAGAGCAGCTTCAGAATAGGTAAATATAATGATTATTTCTTTACAGAGTTAGATAGATTGGGCTTAGAATGGGGCTGAGAGTAGGTTTAGTGTTAGATAGGTTTTGGCTAAACTTGTTGGCTTTCTCTCCCTACACAGAGGCCACCGCTGGAGAGCGGACCGGAGCGGCTTCAGAATAGGTAAATATAGCAATTTTTTCTTTACAGGGTTAGATAGATTAGGCTTAGAATGGGGCTGGGAGTAATTTTAGTGTTAGAGATTTTGGCTGCACTTCCACGTTAAGCTATCTAGCAATTTAGGAGCAACCACATGCTGGCTGTAATGGTTATGGACCCCTTAAAGGGCAGTTGAACACAAACTGCATAACTTTTACAGGCAGCGTTATATAGAAATGGATACAATAACATTCCTGGGTAGACTTTTAAAGTGGTTGTAAAGGCTGTGAACCCCCCGGCCTCTCCTAATTCTTACCTGAGCCCCCTCTCAATCCAGCGATGTCCACGAGAGCCTCGGCTCTCCAGGGAACCTCACTGATGTCCCCAAAGGTTTTGGCTGAACGTCCACTTAAAAAATGTTGTTGGCTTTGTCTCCCTACACAGAGGCCACCGCTGGAGAGCGGACCGGAGCGGCTTCAGAAGAGGTAAATATAGTGATTTTCTTTACAGAGTTAGATAGATTAGGCTTAGAATGGGGCTGAGAGTAGGTTTTAGCTTTAGATAGGTTTTGGCTGAACGCCCACTTAAAAAAATGTTGTTGGCTTTCTCTCCCTACACAGAGGCCACCGCTGGAGAGCGGACCGGAGCGGCTTCAGAATAGGTAAATATAGTGTGATTTTCTTTACAGAGTTAGATAGATTAGGCTTAGGATGGGTCTGAGAGTAGGTTTAGCTTTAGATAGGTTTTGGCTGAACTTCCACTTAAAAAATGATGGGCATCGCACTAAATTAAATAAAATGTCTCTTTATAAGATGGATGTGCAGTAAACAGTATAAAATCTCTCTCTCACGAGCTGCTATTAATAAACCAATGTGCTATTAAAACGTAAAGTATCTGTGACAAGGAAAATGACTGCAAATAGCTGTGTATCTGTCATATGCCAAAACAACGTAATCTCACCTTTATTGTTACCCCGAGCCCCGGCTCTTGCTAAGGTGCTTAGTGGTAACACAAAGCACCCTGGGAAGCCCTAGAATTCAGTTCAATAGCGTCTGTCTGAGAGAAAGCCGCAAGGCATTATGCACTGCCCCGCGCAGCACAAGCCAGGTCTATAAATAACCTTGGCTGCTAGCCTTGTCTCCACTCTTAAAGGAGGTGAAAAAAAAACGAAGGGAGGGTAGCCTCGCTCGTTAACCCCTTGCACCTCTAAAATCCTTGTCTGTACAAGCAACCTTAATCTCCCATGGATGAACGATCACTGCATGGTCGGAACACGTTAGGAAACCACAGGAGCAGCAAGGTAGATGAACGAACCATGGTTAGAGAGAGGCTTCACATACTATGGTGAGGGCTAGTGGCTGCACCCCCCAACTTCCTGTGCCGACTAAAGGAAAGATAGCTTGAGATGAGCTATAGCGCTTGCAGCATAGCTGACATAGTTTAAAAAGCTTGCCAGGGACATTTATTGCTAATATAAATAATAATAGTTTCCAACCATAAAATTCCCACCAGCTGCAGCTCTTCAATAATATCAAAATTAAACCTTGAAATAAACAATAAAAAATAATATCGTAAGCTACGCTATTAATCATACACTCTAATTAATGCCAGAAAACATATAAAATCCATTTTTTCAATGTGCAGACAAATTAAAAAGAATAAATCAATTAACACATACATCATGAACAAAGTGGGCAACATATTTTTCATTACTAATAAAGTCCATTCAACAATAATCTTCTTGCCATGACTTTTATGCAAAGAATGTTTCAACACCCTTTAGCATTTATTTATATTAAGCTGGTATGAATAATATTAGCTTCTTTTTTATCTCATCCTGTACAGTAATAATTCCAGGCATCGACATGTTATACATACACAATATTGCAAAAAAGTATTGGGCTACCCCTTCAAATCTTTGGATTCAGGTGTTCCAATCACCTCCATGGCCACAAGCACCTAGTTATGCAGACTGCTTCTACAAACATTTTTTGAAAGAATGGGTCGCTCTCAGGAGCTCAGTGAATTCAAGCGTGGGTCCTGTGATAGGTTGCCACTTGTGCAATAAGTCCATCTGTGACATTTCCTTGCTAATAAATATTTCATGGTCAACTGTTAGTGGTATTGTTGTAACAAAGTGGAAGCAACTGGGAACAGCAGCAACTCAGCTACGAAGTGGTAGGCCATGTAAAATGACAGAGCGGGGTCAGCGCATGCTGATGCGCACAGTGCACAGAAGTCGCCAACTGTCTGCAGAATCAACAGCTAAAGACCTCCAAACTTCATGTGGCCTTCAGATTAGCACAACAATGGTGCATAGAGAGCTTCATGGAATGGGTTTCCATTTCCGAGCAGCTGTATCCAAGCCTTACATCACCAAGTGCAATGCAAAGCGTCGGATGCAGTGGTGTAAAACACGCCGCCACTGGACTCTAGAGCATTGGAGACATGTTCTCTGGAGTGACAAATCACGCTTCTCTATCTGGCATTCTGATGGACATGTCTGGATTTGGTGGTTGCCAGGAGAACGGTACTTGCCTGACTGCATTGTGCCAAGTGTTAAGTTTGGTGGAGGGGGGAATTATGATGTGGGGTTGTTTTTCAGGGTTGGACTTGGCCCCTTAGTTCTAGTGAAGGGAAACTCTTAAGGCGTCAGCATACCAAGACATTTTGGACAATTTCATGCTCCTAACTTTGAGGGAACAGTGTGGGGATGGCCCCTTCCTGTTCCAACATGACTGCGCACCAGTGCACAAAGCAAGGTCCAAAAAGACATGGATGAGCGAGTTTGGAGTGGATGAACTTGACTGTCCTGCACAGAGTCCTGACCTCAACCAAATAGAACACATTTGGGATGCATTAGAGAGGAGACTGTGAGCCAGGCCTTCTCGTCCATCAGTGCCTGACCTTACAAATGCACTTCTGAAAGAATGGTCAAGTATTCCCATAGACACCCTCCTAAACCTTGTGGACAGCCTTCCAGGAAGAGCTGAAGCTGTTATAGCTGCAAAGGGCGGGGCCAACTCAATATTGAACCCTATGGACTAAGACTGGGATGCCATTAAAGATCATGTGTGTGTAATGGTGGGCGTCCCAATACTTTTGCCAATATAGTGTAGTTACAGCTTGAAGCAATGCAACTTTGTATGTACCATACCTGGCCAATGCCCCTGGAAGCTGGAAATCATTGAATTAGACACCACTAATCTAATAATCTGCACTTGCTTCTGGGTCCCGTGCTGAGCGGCTGGCCCTGATGTATTGTGAATATAGGAGGTTGGATGCTCAACATGGGTGCCATTTACAGAATGCTTTGCATTTTTCTGAATGAATGCAAAACATTCTCTGATTGGACGAGGTGGAGATCATGTAGTCACTGCCCAGCCCTTCCACCTTATCCAATCAGAGAACACTTTATTTTCATTCACAATGTTCAAGCATTCTCTAAATGGTGCCCACACTGAATAGCTGACCTACTGGGTTCACAATGCATCAGGCCGGATGCTCAACATTCGACCCGGAAGCAAGTGGAGATAATTGGAGTAGCAGTGTCTACTTCAGTGATTTCCAGCTTTCAGGGGGATCAGCCAGGTATTGTAAATGCATAGTTACACTGATCCAAACTGGACCAATGTGACTATCTAAAAATGTACCATGCCTAGAATATCTCTTTAAAAGAACATTAGAATGTTTATCCAGGGAATATCCAATTGCATTCTGGGGGGTCGGGAAGGAATTGATTCCCCCCCCTGCAGCAAATTGGACCATGCTTTATGGATCAGCTGTGGGTAAAGGATTCTGTATATGTATGTTTTCTGTTTAGTTATTATTTTTTTTTTTTTTGTCTATTGGTTGAACTAGATGGAATTGTGTCTTCTTTCAACCTATGTACATACAAAGACAAGTAACACTCCACCGTTATTTGGGGACTTCTGGGACCTTAAAGAGGATTCCAGTGTTTCCAAAACAATGGGGTGTTGCTGCTTGTATTTGCATCTATGACCTCAGTAAAAATTTAGGAATTCTTGGATCGTGGAGTGCCAGATATTTCAAAATCTGAGTATATTTCTGCATTATGGTAGACCATGCACCCTACTATCATACTAAGATGCGTTGGTGCAAGATGGGTTTTTTAATGATATAGGTTTTTTATTTCTGACTTTGTACCTACTGGGGGAGATTAACTCTTATCTATATGTCCAGCTGGTCACTGTCATGGGAACAGAATGTGATGAAAACTCCAAAATTTTATAGATGTCCCCAAAGGAAATGTTGAGGGGATATAATCCAATATGGAAAAAGGGTCTTAAGTCTACTGGTAAATGTAAATCTCACAAAAATTCAAAATGGACCTGTCTAAAAAGACTGCCATGGGCTGACCCTGAACTAAAGACCAACAATTATAACAGAAAAATACATAGCAGAATATATATAAAACATCAAAAGAACAAAAAAAGGAAAAAAAATCACCATGTCCAAATCTTTATTAACCTAAAGTTATCATGAAATATATAAACCCAATAAAACCAGTATCCTACAGCGCTGCTCCACATGGCCAGGGGATCATAGATAAGATCATGCAAAAAACCCTCACTCTAGTCACTACACAGTGGTTTAGTGTGAAAAAGTCTAACAAAAACAAAATATTCAATATAAGTATAGATGTACCAACCATAAAACAGCTGTCTATGAGGGAATTTCCACCTACATTGAAGAAATTTCTCTTGTGCCTCTGGAACGTAAAGTGTAATCACCCCTAAGGGGGCTACAAATACACTTTAATACAAGAGGTCTTTACATTTCATAACTTCTAGCACAAACTCAAAAAGAACTTAGTTTAGAGGGTCAAGCTATGATAATGATTCCTTTATACCCTTGTGGGACCTGTACACCCAGAACTGCTGGTTTATAGCACAGTTACAGCCTGAACTGAAATCCTATTTCCAGCTTTACCTACAACTCTGTTAGACTAGTTGACCCTTATCAGTGCACCGTATGAAATGTTTTATGAATGGGCTTAAGGGGTAGCCAGCTAAGATAGATAGTTGACTTCAGTGATGAGTCCTTTCGCACCCAAGTAAAAGAGGCCATTGAGCTGTGGACTACATTAATAGCATTGGTTCCATGCCCAAGGTGTCTGCCTCTTTTGGCCTAACCCTTGGTAGAGATGTGCAGGAAAAAAACAATTTGTATTGTTTCGTCTCGGATTCATTCATTAAGGCAACCATTCGTCATGTTGGAATGATTTGTTTTCGGAATTCGTTTCATATGTTCATTGTTTCGAATCTATTCATATTTTCAGAAGTTGTTTCGGAAGATTCTGATTTATTTGTTGTTTCCAGTGCAAGTTTCCATTATGACTTACACGTGACTTGTTCCAGACTTCGATGCAACTTGCTTGGAATTTTGATGTTTTTGTGACTTTGGCTAAGGCCAGTCATAAAAATACAGAGTGTGACACATATTATTGAACGTGAAAAACCCTCTGAATTCGCAAACAAATTAACAACTTGCCCTCCAGAGGATTTACCACCCTTCCTGACCAGACCATTTTTTGCAATGCGGCGCTGCGTTGTTTTAACTGACAATTGCACAGTCATGCAATGCTAAACCCAAATTAAATTTACATCCTTTTTTTACCACAAATAGAGCTTTTTTTTTCAGTGGTATTTAATCACCTGTGCATTTTTAATTTTTTTGCGCTATAAACAAAAAAAAGACCAAGAATTTTGAGAAAAAAAAACAATATTTTTGACTTTTTGTTATTAAACATGTCCAGTAAAAAATTAAAAAATAAAATTTCATCATAAATTTACGCCAAAATGTATTCTGCTGTGTCTTTGCTAAAATAAAAATCCCAATATGTGTAAATTAATTGGTCTACGTGAAAGTTATAGCGTTTACAAATGGAGGCATAGATACTGGATTTTTAATTTTTTTTTTTTTTTTTAGTAATGGCGGCAATCAGCAACTTATAGTGGGACTGCAGGACTGCGGCGGGCATTCTGACACTGTCAGGGGAACTGTCTTGGTATCACTGACATCCCCAGTGACACCAATACAGTGATCAGTGCTAATAAAAAGCACTGACACTATACTAATGACACTGGGCAGGAAGGGGTTAACATTTGGGCGATCAAAGGGTTAACTGTGTACTGTTTTACTATGTTGGCTGTGTGTGTGCTTTACTGTAAGCACACTGCTTTGGATGGCTCTGCTATGCAGAGCCATCTAAAGCAGTGTGCAGGAACTGACAGGGGAGAGACCTGTGTTGTTTATACTCTAGTTGTTTATACACAGGTCTGTTCCCCGTTGGAGATATTCGGCGATCACCGGGTGGCGGTGAGTAATCACCATCCGGGACCTGGTGATTGTCAGCCAAGGCCGCGAATGGCGGCGCGGGTAAGACGCACGCACCCCCCCTACCTGGAACTGCAAAGTCACGTATATATACATGATTTTGCGCACCCGTGCTATCCTGTAGCAGTATTTCTGCTATAGGGCGGCGGGGAACCGGTTAAACACATGAATACAAATGAATTTGTTGTTTTCGGTATAATTTATTTGAGATGCATTGAAATTCATTACTATTGTGATTCGGAGATTTGGAAACATCTGAATCTCCAAATAAAGACATTTTTGTTTGAATTTCAATTTGTAACAAATCGATTCGCACATGTCTACCCCCCTCTGCTCACCCCCCTGGTGGGCTTATGGTGAATTAAGAGTAAAATTGTAGGTTTGTCTTCTAAAAACAGAATGTCTTCACTTGCAGAACAGATCCAAAACTCAAAGGGTTTATTTCTCAATTTAGGATAGGTAGTCATTAAATTAATGCAGATCATCCGTTTATGTCCCAGCGGCAAAGAGTATATTTAGAACTGCTGCTTTATAGCAAACATTCAGCCTGGAGTTATGGCACATATTGCATACAGCTGTTTCTGCTTTTTTTTTTGGGGGGGGGTTTTGGCCGTCATCACTGCCAGGTTTGTAAAACATGACTTAGCCAACCGAGGGTGAAGCCGTGAATACTCAGCTGTGATATGTTTATTACAACACTAATCAGTCGTCCATATGACAGGAACGCTTTTCTATCAGCTTACTCTAGTTTATCTAATGCAGGGGCGGACTGACCATTTGGCAACTTGGTACCTTTTTCATAGGATTTTTTTGAGTTTGGGCAAGGGCACGGGCCCCATGATCCCCTATTGCCCGGGAGCCCCATGAGTTGTCAGTCCACCCCCTGATCTAATGCCTCTTTTCTTTCTTCCATATCAATTATGGATTATGACATCAAACTTCATGTAACCTAGCAAGTGTCTTTAAAAATTGTGAGCATGATATGTGCCAGTACATAGGCTCTTCACACTGGTAAATGCTCCTACAGTGGGCCTGCATGCACAAGTCTGCATGAATACATTCCAACGGAAATAGTGCATTTACAAAATGTGACCAGTCTGCTGCAGACAGTAGAAAGCCTTTCTTCAGTCTCCTCTCCCCCAGTGAATGCAGCTTTGTAGCAAGTCATAAGCCAAGAGGCTGCAGCCAAGGCTGATTTTCGTCACAC